CGGACCTGTCCACGTTCAGCGGCCACTGGTCCACGTTCTGTAGCTAGCTTAGGTCCTAGATCATTAGCCTGTCCGTCCGGAGAAGCGGATCCCTTTCTCAAATGGGTCTCCCTCCCTGTGGGTTTCCCTAGTTCTCCCCAAGGTTTCTCACTTTTTCCCACTGGGTTTTTTAAGAGTTTTTCCTTGTCGATGCAGGAGGGTCTTGTTGGACAGTTAGTGTCCAACAGAAAGGATTGGTGATGATCAGGACACTTTAGCATTCTACAACATGTATGGACATTTTCTTCTGTGTGTGCTTTATATTCTCCATGTGTTTTAACTGTTGATTCTCTGACCTGTGTTGGTGATTTCAATGGTTTTGTTAAGTCCTCTGAGATTACTTCTGTTGTGACCTAGGGCTATACAAGAATAAATTGTATTGTATTGTATTTTGTATTATCTGTTTTTAAATCTACAGTCTATTATCTTAAATAATACTCTCTGTTTAATGTGTGCAATCTGAGTGCTCTTATTCCCTTCTTCTCTGCTGTAATGTGCACAACGATGACACTGAAACTTCCCCACAATGGGACGAATAAAGGAATATCTTATCTTAAAAAAGCTAACAAAGCATCACGGACGTCTGAACTATTATCTGAGAGCTGGGAAAATCAAGGGAGAGACGCATACTTGGATTAGACTAGATTATAACATAGTATCTGAAACAATATGAATCAAGCAAGGCACTTCATCAGACTGGAAATAGTTTATTCCCAAACTGGCATAACGATCACGATTTTTCTGTATGGCACGTGCACACTATCAGACGCACACACAGCTCCAAATAACAATTACGCGATCAAGAAAAGGTTGACTCTATAAACAAGAAAAAAGACATTTTTAAAAGCTGTAACTATGGAACAATTGAAAGTAAGTCGCGCAACTCTGACACTGACAGAAGTGGAACAGTTTGCAATCATAAAAGAACTTGTCATTTTTTTCCAAAAAGTGGATCTTCTCTCAGTGACCTATTGATGAAGTGTTCAAGCAGAGAAGAAAATCACGTTCTTCTTTCAGGTCACTATGTGCATTCGTAATGGTCAAATGCGTCAGTCTTTCCTGCTTCATTGCGTTGTGTAGCCAGGTCTTCAATCTGTGCAAGGCTGAGAAAGAGCGCTCAGATGCCGCGACAGATATGGGCAGGGCCAGGCAGCGCTTTATAAGATTCTCCGCCTCCGACTGTATGGAGCACGTTTGGGGCTGCAAGGTGGGCAGGATAGACACAGCCTATTGAATTGTAATGACTTCTCCCTAGTTATAAATGACTTTTCATTATTAATGGATTAAAATGTATCTTTTATTATTATTTTCTGTGGTACACATAGGCGTCTGAGAGGACAAGATCAGATTTCATAAAACCGATGCGTTATTATTAAATTAAATTGTCCGAACCAAGAGGCTACTCCACCTCAGCTGCAGTGACCTGAAGTGCTGTTTCTTATTATTACTATGACTAATTACTATTGTTAGGTTTTTAGAAAGATCTATTTATTTATTTTGTGTGGATGGATGTGTTTTTGCTGCTACTGGACACCTGAATTTCTCTTACAGGGATTAATAAAGTATTTATCTATCTATCTATCTATATATCTCTCTCTCCATCTCTCTCTATCCCTCCCTCCCTCTATCTATCTATCTATCTATCTATATCACTCTCTCTACCCCTCCCTCCCTCTATCTATCTATATCTCTCTCTCTCCATCTCGATCTATCTATCTCTCTCCATCTCTATCTATCTATTTCTCTCCATCTCTATCTATCTATCTCTCTCCATCTCTATCTATCTATCTCTCTCCATCTCTCTCTATCCCTCTATTTCTATCTCTCTCCATCTCTCTCTATCCCTCTATATATATCTCTCTCTATCTCTCTATCTATCTATCTCTCTATCTATCCATCTCTCTATCTATCCATCCATCCATCCATATCTAGTCTCTGTCTCTGGTCTCTCTCTGGTCAATGAAAAGTTGGTGACTCCAGCGTTAGATTAAAGAGAGATTAAAAAAATGTACAAAATGTATCCCACAATGCATTTAACTGAAGTAAATCTGTGTTCATGTCAAAAATGGTGACATACTTTAAATTGCTGCTCCTGAGTCACATTTCTTCCTCTGATCTGATGTCCCCAAATTCAGTTGAATGAAGTCTTATTTCTTAATCTTCCTTGATCTTAATTGTGAATAATTAATGAATTATTTGCTCGTCCAAAGTGTCTGGACTGAATCGACAGAACAACAGACTTTTAAACTAAAACCATCCACCGCTGATCCCGGAGCCAGACACAATATTCAAATGTGGTGTTTTTCAGCGAGGGCGAACTCCAAATGGGACAAACTTTGAATGAAACTGCGGTGTGTGTGTGTGTGTGTGTCGGTGTGTGTGTGTGTGTGTGTGTGTGTGTGTGTGTGTGTGTGTGTGTGTGTGTGTGTGTGTGTGTGTGTGAGAGAGAGAGAGAAATGACGATGCACAAATAGCTTTAGGAACAAAGAGTAGCAGACAAGAAACCAGGGGAGTCTAAATGCAAAAGTAGAAGCCGCCGGAAAGATCAATGAGAGAGAGAGGGGCAGGAGCTCAGACAGAGAGACAGAGGAAGCTAAAGATATACATATTACTTCAAAGCCGGGGTACTATCTTACTAAGTGTTAATACTACTACTACTACTACTATTACTACTACTACTACAACTACTACTACTGCTACTACTACTACTAATGATAATAATAACACTTATTTTTGTCTAATACAGCAGATTTCTTGGACTCTTAAAGACGCTTCCATCCAGAGCGAGAGGGAGAGAGAGACCACAGGGAGGGACCAGAGGGGGAGACCAGAGAGAGACCAGAGAAACCAAAGAGAGACCAGAGAGAGGTGCTCTGCTCCGAAAGAGGACTGTGAGCTTCCTGTTCTGGAGTTTTTTTATGAATCCGGACTTAATGTTCCAGCTTCTTTCCACAATCTGTAATCAGTCTGAACAAAGCACTATATGATCTCTCTCTTTCTCCCTGGTCTCACTATAAGAGGATCTTGGAGTGACGTCATTGTTTATAGTTTTTCCGCGCCGGTCACGTAGCCGTGTGGCACTATAGCATTGAAAGCTACCTGGATGATACAGAGTTAGCTAGCTTTAGACGTTTGGAGAGAGGTTCTACTAAATCAAATGGTCCGTTCCGATTGTGTGGTCGGTTGTACCGCCCGCTGGGGACAGATTACGTTTTTTTTCTACTTCTTTCGGAAAAGAACAGCAAAAAACGGCCACGGTAAAGTGGTTGCCCATTTGTGCTGTTACCTACGGTAAACGTTAAACGGGAAGCCGGGGGATTTCGGTTGCTCATCCCCGCGGCTTCCTGTTCCACCTTTACCGTAAGGAAGAGTAAAAAGGGGCAGCCCGCTTTTAATGCATGGCAAAATGCCGGGCCACTTTACCCCGGTGAAGAACGTGAGAAATGGATTTTCCCCACGGACCCTTCTTGGTGAAGGGTTTTCTATGAAGTAAGAATAAATGTCTCCGAGTCCCAGTCTTGGCAGATCGGGGCCAGAAGAGAGGTGAGTCTGACCAATGTTTCTTCTCGTCATCCCAGGTCTCATATGGGCTTTGAATTTGTTCAGTTCGGTCTCGGTCTTGCGTTAAAGTGCTATTTGCTTTAAGAAGTACTCGTCGAATCCATGCTTCAGAATGCGCCGCTCTGTCTTCTTGCCACACAGCGAGGGACGCATGCGCACACGGGTGTAAACAAAGATCCTCCTATTCTCTCTGGTGTCTGGTCTCTCTCTTTCTCTCTGATCTTTCTCTCTGTCGTCTCTGGTCTCTCTCTCAATCTCTCTCCATCTGCCTTCTCTCTGGTCTCTCTCGAGTATCTCTCTCTGGTCTCTCATTCTGGTCTCTCTCTAGGATCTCTCTCTCAGTCTGAACAAAGCACTTTGATGATCTTGTATTGAAACTGTTTTGGTTGATTCAACCTTTTTAGCTTGTCTTAATCCAGTTCTTGTCTGGTGCCCTCTGATGTACTCTCGCACATGTATTCTACTGTGGTTTTATTGCACATGGAAAATAAACAGAGTGCAAATCTGGGGGCAGAGCTGGGCGCCACGCTGAGACGTTTACAGCAGCAACATCTCATATGACACACATTTGATCTGCCGGCTTTATTCTGCAACTTCAAACATGGCGGACGGACAGATATAGAAACTTATGCAAAGTGAGCGGTGGGGACGGCGTCAGTGTGTGCCGTGGTGCAAAGCTTCATTTGAATTTCAATGGAAAAATCTACAAGCTCAAAGTGTATGAGATAAAATGTGTTAAGCCTCTAAGCGATTTGTTTACATTACTGTTTAAATTAACACAAGAGTCACACCCCGGCATCAAGACCGAATCTCTATCCACAGTCCCAGCCTCAGTCCTGGATCTACAACCTTAGTTCTGGATCTGCAGCCTCAGTCATCTCGCTCTCTATGGGCCAATGGCGCCGTTGTGACAATATATTTACATTCCCTGTGATAAAACCGCTTGATTCTCTTGCTAAGGAAACCTGGAGTTACCCCAGATCTATATAAGGGTTGGTCAGTCCTTAAATGGTTTTTATCTGGATTTATAAAGACAATACCCTAATATAAACACAAGTATCAAAGAGAGCAGTGAGTGTGACACAAACCGTTACTGAACTAGAGGAGTTTACTTTTACATGTAAGTCATTAGAAGTACTTCCCTTTTGGGTTTCATTGAGTTATTGGGAATATTGTCCATCTTTATACAGTCAGTGTTAGCATTGTCCATCTGTGTACAGTAGGTATTAGCATTGTCGATCTGTGTACAGTAGGTGTTAGCATTGTCCATCTTTATACAGTCTATGTTAGCATTGTCCATCTTTATACAGTCTATGTTAGCATTGTCGATCTGTACACAGTCGGTGTTAGCTTTGTCCGTCTGTATACAGTCTGTGTTCAGAATTTGACAGCTCCCTCACCTCCCCCACCATGCCGTTCCACTCCCCGTCAATATTTTTGCCGTGGCGCCCGTTGGTGACGAGGTAAAGGTCATAGGTGAAGCCCACAATTTTGGCGAGGCGCTTGAGGACGTCGATGCAGAAGCCTTTACAGCAATGCTTCATGGGAACAGTGCCCTCCAACACCAGGGAGCTGAGAGAAACACACACACACACACACACACAAACAGACAAGCAGACACACATGTTATTGTTTGGAGAGCAAATTCATTACTCTAATACATTGTGAATATCTATGTATTTCAGATGTAACAAAACTCATCATTGGAAACCACTCCTCCTTCAGAGCAAGAAGATTGTGGGTTTTTAAGGCTTTGCCTTATCTCAGATTCTGGCTGCTGGAGGAGCAGAGAGGAGCAGACAGAAGCAGAGAGAAGCAGACCGAGCCTTATCAGGAGCAGACTCTGGCAACATCACCTCATCTGAACCACACCATCCAGAGCGGAGGCTCCTCTCACATTTTTTACACCTTTAAAACACATTCAACAGCTCTAACCGCAGACTGAAGTTTTCCCCATAGAACTCAATATAAACTAAACAGTTTCTCTTGTCATCCTTAACTTTTTTTTTCTTAAATTCTTCGGTTTTCTATAAATCCACACTTTAGTTCCACAAACTCTGCTCGTTTGGCACCCGCTCTTACTCCCGCTCTGGCTCGGCTCTGATCAGCAGCTCTGATTGGTCAGAGCACGTGCCTGAGAGCCACACATGCGTATTTGGAGCAATGCATCAAGTTGCTTGATGCGGAGTTCAGCTAATCTTTTGGTCCCCACTGAGCACAAGCCATTCATTTGAATAGGGCGCAATCTTGGATTGCTGAGGCTTGAGGTCTTTTGGTTGTGTTATTGTTGTTATTATTGTTGTCCCTCGTCTGTTCCACAAAGAGCTGTATTTGAGTAATCAATATTCTCAGATACTCCACGCTGCTTCACCTCCTGACACACTTTAAAGGTTTTGATTAAAATAAAAATTCTAACTACTAAGTCTGAAGTCTTAAAACTAATTCTGAAATCACATTCTCATCAATGGTAAGAGACACACAAATGTACGCACACACACATACACAGACACACACATTTTGACGAATGGTAAGACACACACACACACACACGCACACACACACACAGATGCTTATTTGAACCTTCCCACACTTGAAATTGTGTTTTTGTTATTTAATGTGGAACTGGACACGGATCAATGATGAAGTGAACTCTGCATTTATGAAGGTTACAACTATCATCCTATTACTACACTCCAGCCACACACATTACACACAGATTACACACACATTACACTCACATTACACACCCAGACAATCCTCCAGAGACAGATAACCCTTCTCCAGGTCATTCAGAGTCACTCCAGGTCAATCCAGTGGAAAATTGGTACTGTTCGTTGGTGATTAACATATATATAGGATCCCATACTCTGCAGGAATACTGACTGAGAATGTGAGGTTTCTACTACGTTGCACTGTTGGAGAAACTAAAGAGGACGTGAGATGCTTCTAACCGTTGTGTGAATTAATACATCATACTTCTGCATTTTGAGGCGACAGTAGCTCAGTTGGTCGTGGATTCGAGCCCATCACAAGACATTCTCCACCGACTCCCACTGATGTCTGCTGTCGTTGTGTCCTTGGGCAAGACACTTCACTCCCATTGCTTAGAATGAGTCTGGTGTGTGTGTGTGAATGGTTGGTGGTGATCGGAGGGGCCGATGGCACAGACTGGTTGCCTCGCTTCTGTCAGTGTGCCCCAGGGCAGCTGTGGCTACAATAGTAGTTTATCCCCACCATGTACAGAGTGAATGAATAATGACACGTGAAGCGTCTTTGAGTGTCCAAATAAAGTGCTTTATAAAACCGATGCATTACTATTATTGTAACCACAAAAACAGCCATAGAGCACAGACCTTCACCAAGAGGCTCATTCCTAAGAAATCCCTCAGTCCAGACAGCCAAGTGTCCACCAGCCCGACTTGGACCTACTCTACTCAACTCAATGAGCTGGTACTAAAGTGTTCTGACTGACAGTGATTAGCTGCACATAAGAGGGCTGCTGGAAGCCATGGTGACCAAGGAATTTCCCCTGGTTTGTTGTGAGTAGAGCAGTGTATAGGAGAGTAGAGTAGACCAAATTGGGCTGGTGGAAAAAAGGGTATTCATACAGGTGAAATCCATCCATCCATCCATTTTCTTCCCCTTAATCCATTTCTGGGTCGGGGGGGTGGCAGTCAGAGCTGCACCCAGTACACATAGCACCAGCCCCTCACTGATCCTCCTGCAGGTGGTGAGTCCACAGGAGCTGAGATCTTTCAGTGGGAGCATCAGGCAAAGTGGGGTTAAGTGTCTTGCCCAAGGACACAACGACAGCAGTCATCAGTGGGAGTCGTGAAGTAGGTCTTATGGTGGGCTTGAACCCACGACCTTCAGGCCCAAAGGCCAATGCTCTACCAACTGAGCTACTGTCGCCCCTACAGGTGAAATATCATTCAAAAGTCCAATTATTTCAGTAATCCAAATTACAATGTGGAACTAATATATGATCCAGACTCTTTACTTGCAGAGAGACTGATCTCACTTTCAATTTGTTATAATGTTTAAAATTGGCTCACAAATCTAAAAAGATAAAATATAACGTCTCAGAGAAGTGGCTTGGCATTGGCGTGTAATGAGTCTGTGTCCGCTGTGAGATGAATAAAGTTTATCTCATCTTATCAAATCTTATCTTATTAGATTCACGTTTTACGTTGAAACTAATAAGATAAGATGAAATGGATGAATTTTGAAAAGATATTGTCATTTCCAGAGTTTCATCTGTGTATAGACTGTTTCAGAAGCAGATTATTTTTTATGGCCAACTCTCACCAGATTGCTCCACACAAGGATTCGGGATTTCTCAAAAGGAGATGTATTTAAAAAAAACAAACATTGTATATAATTGGATAAACCACTTGTCCGTTATCTGGAATGACATGTTACTTCAACCACTCACATGGAAGCACACGACTCCTTTTTTCAACATTCATGGACATTGGTCAACTCCAATGAACCAATTTATGAACCAATAAATATGCATTCTATATATATTTTTTTTAACGGTTTGACCTTCTGATTTGTGTGGTTTTGTTAAGTCCTCTTAAGTCAATTCAATTCATTGAATACCGCCTGGCGATCCTGACTGGTTCAATATTTTTTGCTATCTTCTAGGAATTTGCATTGCCCTCGATCCCAGATCGTTGTGTAGAGCTCACCAAAACGCCGCTGGTAGAGCATGGCGGAACTTCAAGGGTCTGGCGTGAGTCAGGTTAGTTGTTATGACTGTAACACGGAGTCACAAACTAAGAATTTGCTTTGGCTCAAGGTGCAGATTGACCTTTAGACTAGAGAGCGACTAGAGAGAGATCAAGGAGAGACCAGAAAGAGGAACCAGATAGAAAGACCAGAGAGACCAGAGAGAGACCAGAGCGAGACCAGAGAGAGACCAGCGAAAGATCAAAGAGATATCAAACAGAGACCGGAGGGCGTTTCTGTTACCTGGAGTTGAGGGGCATACGGCAGGGCACAGAGTCCCTGATGCAGGAGCTGGTTCCTGGGTCAGCTGGTTCCACGATGACAAAGGGTCTCTCCTCCAGAGTCACCACACGCAGGTGCTGCGCGTCGTCCAGAGGTTTGAGGAACGAACCATAACGAGACCAGGGGTGGTACCTCAGACGCAGGTGACCATTCTCCCACCAGCCCACCTGCAGGATACACAAGCATCATCAAGGAGGAGCATCTGTGCAGGCGTTAACACTAGAACAATTCTAGTGTTAACAAAACAAGTCCTCATTCCATAGCTTAGGTTCTGGATCTATGGCCCGTCCGTCCGTGTGGAGCGGATCCCTCTCTCAATGTGGATCGCCCTGAGGTTTCTCACTTTTTTCCCACTGGGTTTTAGAGTTTGTCCTTGACGATGCAGGAGAGTCTGTTGGACAGTTAGAGTCTAACAAGAAGGACTGTGATGATGATCCAGGACACTCTACATTCTACAACAATTATGGACATTTATCAACATCCATGGACATTGGTCTCGCCCAATGAACCAATACATGTGTGTTCTATATTTTTGGTGTTTGAACTGTTTGATTCTCTGATCTGTGTTGGTGATTTCAATGGTTTTGTTAAGTGCTCTGAGATGACTACTGTTGTGGTTTAGGGCTATACAAGAACAAATTAATAATTAATTAATAAGCCACGTGTTATTCAAAGGACATAAATGAACATATGGGAAAACATGTATGGAAAAACATTGTAAATACATATTCTCTGATCTGCTGTTGGCCAATCAAAATATGTGTAAGTCCTCTGAGACAACTGCTGTTGGGATTTAGGCCTGTACTCAAATACATAAAATTGGATTGGCATTGAACTGAAATCTAACAGTGTCAATATTTGTCAATGGAGATTTTGATACCAATAATATCTGCTACTACTCTATTCTACAACTCTGCTCTGCTCTGCTCTACTCTACTCTACTCTACTCTACTCTACTCTACTCTACTCTACTCTACTCTACTCTACTCTACTCTACTCTACTCTACTCTACTCTACTCTACTCTACTCTACTCTACTCTACTCTGCTCTGCTCTGCTCTGCTCTACTCTACTCCACACCAGCTCTGGTAATGATCCCAGCTGGTCTTAAACACCCGTGCCCTGTCCTGACGACCCACACGTGTAAACAAACGCCGCCTGCTGCTCCTCTGGCTGCGACTCCTGTATTTAGAGCACATTTACATAAAACACATCCCCCTGTGGATTCTGCAGACCGCGGCGCTCACACACACTCCGAGAGGCTGCAATGGGACTGCAATACATTCATTATAGCTATTAGACAAGGTATACTTCTCATTTATGAAGCACATTTAAAGCTGGGGTACAAGTTTTTGATCATGAATGGAATAACATGACGGATTTTACGTGTTGTGTTTTCATTGTTGCTGTTTTGTTTTGTTAATAAAGGCTGCAGAGAAAAATGAGTTCCACAATGTAAACCTGTATATTCTCGCCAATAGTCTCTTAAAACAAACGTTTCCGAGACCTTGAGGAGAATGCGACAAACACCAATGTATTTCTCATTCTATTTGGGACAATAGAGCAGAGATGAGCAGTTCCGAACACAAAGAGACTGCTGCGTTCACTATAAACTTCGGAATCGTCTCCTTTGTGGAGTTTGGGGTGTTGTTCAAACATGGAATCTGCTTCTGTTCTCTTTGAAGCCTCTAATCAGGCGTCTTGCTGCGGTTTGCGTCAGAAACAGAAACATCACACATGTTTGAATGATGTGTTCAAAACGGGACAAAACAAAAGGATCCTCATAGTTTCACGTGGGTCCAGAGAGAAGCGACAGACCTGATCCCATCTCTGCACCAGGAAACAACCAGCAAACAATCAGAACGTTTGCATACTAGGAATGAAAAAAGATAGATCGGACATGCATATTTTCATAACTTTGTGCTCTGTCAGTGGCTTTTCCAGTCATCTACAGCCTCAATCCTGGGTCTAGAGCGTAAGGCCCCGACTCCACCGGGCGCGTAAAACGGACGACGGATCCGTCCAAACATGTCCGTTTCATCTCCGTCTCCGTTATCTCCATGAGGGTGAATGGAAGTGGCTCCACTGCCTCCGCATGCGTCCGTCCAACGCACGTCGGACGTATTCCGTCAACGGATGGTGCAACGGACGCGGACGGACGAAATAAAAACAATCCTATTAGTTCCGTCCGTCGACGCGTGTCGGGTCCGTTTTCCATTGAAAATACAATGGAATAATATATTTACAACACTGTTAAACATTTATTGATATATGCTGTAGTCCTTGGTTAGAAATATTTGTTAATGACAATGATTATTAACAAACGTGTGTAATGTTTTTCATGTATTAATTTAAATAATTGTTTCCTGATCGTAAATCTACCATTTATTTTTCGCGTAATGTTAATAAGCTAATCTTTACATACACCTCACTCTTTTTTCTCTCGCTCTGTCCCGTCTACCTGCGAGGCGCTCTCTCCTCACCGCCGCGCGCTCCCACACACACACACACACACACACTCACACTCACACACACACAGAGCTGCACTTATGAGAGACAGATCTCACAACACTGGATATGTTGGAGTTCTTTTCTCTTTTCTCTCTCCCCTTTTTCCAATTGCTTTCAATAAGTTTTGCCTCATCCACCGCGACGTCCTCAATACTTCAATATGCCGTGCTTTGCATAGATCATAGCCACAGCTCATACACATCACACACCGCTTCTTCTATTTAAAACTATAGCTCTGCCTGTTGCCTAAAGCCGCGGAAAGGCGAGTTGGGTCCGATAAAAGTGTATGACGCGCTAAATAAGTAGAAAACAAACAAAGAGGCTGGATCATAATCAGGGCTGGACTGGGACAAAAAAACGGCCCGGGCATTTTTTCCTTCTTACCGGCCCAGGCATGTTTTTGTCACGTTTTTTACAGTTTGTTTATACCAGGGATCGGCAACTCAAAAGGTTCAAAGAGCCATATTTGACAAAAAATACTAAAAACATCTGTCTGGAGCCGCAAAAAAATAACAGCCTTGTATAAAGCTTATATGAAGGTTACACAATGTAGCTACATTAGCTACATTAGCCTATTATCTAAATGACCAAGTAAAGGCTACAAATACATAATAAGCATTCATGATTGTCAAATGTGTATTTTCACTGCAGCGTGTCCTGGAGAGAATGACGCACCACGCGATGACTCTGCTTTAACTTTGACTTCCATTTTTTTGCCTTCATGCAACTGTAGAAATACAGTAAATAAATCTGCTTTTTGGCTCAAAGGTCACACACCTGCACTGTCCGCTCATATCGATTACGTCACAGGCTGAAGTTTGCTGGAGCTGAATGTCCTCAATGGCCTTTTCTTTCACAGTCTTTGCGGAGGTTTTTGAAGTCTGAAAAAGGTGCTCCGGATTTTGTATGAAAGAATCCTTCACGTAATCCCTGTGAACGGTATTTAGTGCTTCATTGTTCCTCGTGTTGCAACAAAACTTCCTATTACATCGCAAACATGAAGCAGTCCTTCCTCATTGACTAAAAGCAAATGTTCAGTCTTGTTCTTAGTCCAGTCTTATTATCGACTCGTTCTCTTTTTATCTTTGGGATCCGTGCGCACACGCCGGTTTGTTTACAGCAGCGGCCGCCTGGCGCGGGGCCGCGCCACAGGATATGACTCACTACGTTGACAGAAATGTTGAAATTGAATATTACTTATACACATTTTTACAGCATTGAAATACGTTAGGAATGTTTTTCCTCCTACAGAAACCACATTCAAACTAGAAATAAAATATAGCCCTCCCACTCCATTTTCAGACATTTTTGAAAAGGCTCCAGGAGCCACTGGAGGAGCACTAAAGGTTGCCGACCCCTGGTTTATACAGTATGTGGAAGCAAATACTGTAGAGGATCAGGATGTCTACAGTTTCAACAAAAAAATAAAGTGCAATAGTCTACATTACAAGAGAGTAATAAACATGTCTCAGAGTGAGGGAGGTGGCCGCAGACAACACTGTTGTTTGTTACAGGGATGAGAATTGGTCAAAAAAGTCTGAAATGCATAATGTCAGCCATTGGCTGGCTCTAAATCTGTTTAATTTTTTCACAACATTTTACTTTTGGGCTCAAACATGAACTTTTAATGCAATGGAAAATTTAGGCACCCGAGCTTTAATTTAGTCGCACTTCGAGAGGAGAGGGGAGACGCGGACTGTTTCCTGCAGCGGTGTATTTATTGGGTGCACAAATTACGCAAAGACACGCATGGTCCTGTGCACGTTTATGGTCTTGGGTACATGGTCACGTTGCGGCTACGCGCTCACCGTGTTGTGTTATGAGCGGCTCCCGGTGAGCGGTTCCCGCGTCCAGCTCAGAGCCGCTGGATGCCGGAACACTGCGGCCGCTGAGGTGGTAGAATCCCGTTCCAGTACATACAGCAGGTGCCCCGCGGACACGCGCGCCCCCTCGAACAGTTCTCAACGGATTTACACTTTTCACAAACATCTTTTTTGTATGAGGCAAACAGACCGGCCCAAATATGGGCATCGGCCCTTCTGGCATTGCCCGGTACGCCCGATGGCCAGTCCAGCCCTGATCATAATTCATAATAAACGCTGCAGTCACAGACCCAAACACACATGCACGCACACGCCTTCCACCACACACACACACACACACACACGGGCGCTCTCACGCACACGCTCACGCACGCCGACAATACATAACTCCTCCAGCAGCCAAACATTCATTCATTCACACAATGCCCAAACATGTCTCCTACAAAATCAAAGCAGGCTGATAAACGCACAGCCAGAGTTGCGCGCTGCAGCCGGTTTGACCACTAGTCCGTTTTACGGACGGCTGACGGACAGCAGCCAACGCGCGTCAACGGAGACGCGCCCGGTGGAGTCCAGGCCTCAGTCCTGGGTCTAGAGCCTCAATCCTGGGTCTACAGCCTCAGTCCTGGATCTACAGCCTCAATCCTGGGTCTAAAGCATCAGTCCTGGGTCTACAGCCTCATTAATGGGTCAACAGCCTCATTTATGGGTCTACAGCCTCAGTCCTGGGTCTGCACCCAAAGTATGGGTTTACAGCCTTAGTTCTGGAAAATTGAGGTTTCCCACTTTTCTTTTTTTTTTTTCAAAAGCGGTTACTTGCTGATGCAAGAGGGTCTAAGGACTGTGATGATACAGGATATTCAACATTCAAAAACATTTATGGACTTTATTATCATTTATGGACATTGGTCTTTGTCCCTTACGGACCAATTGGTCTATAAGGGACAAAGACCAATGTTCTTGTTACCAGACTTGAACCTAAACTACAATAGCCACATCAAACCTGTAACAGAAAAACAAATATATACTGTATTGTGTCTAAAACAGACCTGGAGATTCTAGATTGTGTCCAGTAGGCTAGATTGTGTCCAGTAGGCTAGATTAGTGAAGCTTCCCGTGTCTCACAGAATAGACAACTCTGTCTGTTACAAGTCTTTCCGTGGCCTCGAACCAAAGTACATCTGTGACATATCATTGTTTTGTATCAGTGTGATTAGAGGTATTGTATTTTACCTGTATTTTATTAATTAGGCCATTCATTCTTTCTATTTACCAATTCTTTGCACACTGTAAACTTGCTGTCACGTTGCCTCTGCCTCAGGGACTATACGGATGAAACTTAGCTTGTAGCTAAATCCGCTCTGAACAATACATTTATTTTGCTATGTCCCTGTCAAATAAACAAATAAATAAAAATAAAATAAATGTTAGTCCCATATGAACCAACTGAAAGGAGCACAGGGACTGGCCTCCTACTGTTTCCTAGAGTCAGAATTGAACATTGGGAGGCAGCATTTAAGATGTATGCAGCTAAAGTCTGGAACAGTCTTCCTGATTATGTGAGACAGGCTTCTTCTCTGGCAATGTTCAAATCCAGGTTAAATATTGTTCTTTTTACTTGGGTTAGGGTGCTACAACAGAAGGATTGTATCTCTACTCTTTTTGACGCACGTTTGATTAAAAAGTGTACTCTGTGATTACCATGATGGCGGTTCCCTGGTAACTGAAAGATTGCGACCTCCTCAAAGTCTGGTGTTTGAAGTGATTGGGTGGACATGAAACCCAGGATAGAGCCAAGGACCGAGCAAAGAGAGAGCCGACAGAGCCATCATGGTGGTCCCTCTCTCTACCCTCCAGTCCTGACT